ATAAATCAAGAACCATTTCTTCATACCTGCTCCATAACTTTCAATGTACTCTACACCACTCATGATGACACAGTGGAAAGTACGATCCAGAAACATAACAGAGTTCAGTCTTGAAATTATTAGTGTTGTAGTTGTTGCACACACCTTTCTCCTTCCCACTCCTCAAATGATCTGTGTCTTGAACAAAACTTTTGTTAAACTCTGCAGCCCAGGAAAATGTGTTTTTCTCCTTCCTATATCTATTTACATCATCATTTGCTAAATATACTACATGTCTGATACTGCTTCACTTTGCAGTTTCAAGACATTTTGGTGCAAGGTAGTTAGATTAACTTAGTGAAATGTCTATAACTCATACAAACAATATCCATAGGGCCAAAGTGTGGAATTAACATTTTTCATCTATAGATCTCAAAGGGTAAATATAACTATTCTCATCTTACACATGGAGAAATTGAGGGACAGCTAGGGTAAGTAATTTATTCAGTCACACAGCAAATCAACAGCAAGGCCAGGAATAGAATCCTTGATTCCTTGTCTACTGCCCTACCTGCTGGACCTTGTAGTCACAGCCCTGGGCTTCTGAGACACACAGTGCTTGTAATAGTTGCAGCATGCTCACCCAGCCTGGCTGGTCGTCTGTAGGAAGGCTCATGCACACATCTATTCCCTACTTCCTTTGCTAAAGCTAGTGATTACAGCAGACCCAGCCCTATGTGTTTCTGAGCCAAAGGATTCCCATTGTGCCCTGCCCCTTCAAGTGGGAGGAGAGATGGGAGCCACACAAGGGAGGGAAGAGAAAGGATCCCTGCATCCTTTCCCCCTCAAGCACCCGTGCAGAGTCCAGCCATTACTCTGTACCCCTGCTGCACCATTAAACTGACATTGAAGGAGCAGCTCAGTGATCAAAAGGTGTCTGTACAGCTTTTCTGAGCCAGCCAGTTAGCACAGCTGCAATAGGAGTGTTGGCCAGCCAGTCACTCCTTAGAAAACAACAGAGGGTCCTGTGGCACCTTTAAGACTAACAGTTAGTCTTAAAGGTGCCACAGGACCCTTGGTTGCTTTTTACAGATTCAGACTAACACAGCTACCCCTCTGATACTTCACTCCTTAGAGTACATCTGTCCACATTGCTTGCCTCAGAGCTGTCTCTCCAAAATGGTGCCTCCAAAACTGCTGCAGCCTAGCCCTGGGTTCTTTGAGCCTATTGATTCATATAGCCCTGCTAATGTGAAGTGTAGTATATCACTGAGCATGATGCAGTGAAACAAAAACTTGCCAATTACACCTCTACCCCAATATAACATGACCCGATACAACACGAATTCTGATATAACACGGTAAAGCAGTGCTCCGGGGGAGCGGGGCTGCGCACTCTGGTGGATCAAAGCAAGTTTGATATAGTGCGGTAAGATTTTTGGCTCCTAAGGACAGCGTTATATCAACGTAGAGGTGTATTTTCTTTTCTACAGAATGAGCAGCACACACTATTCCAAGGGTGAGGTAAGATGTGGCTTTTCAATGGGCTTCTGACTTGGTCACCCATGAGCAGTGAGGCATTTATCTCTATGCCTGACATTAACTGAATATCATGCAAGAGCTTGAGCCCCTTCATTGTGATGCCTGTTTTTACTCACTGTTTCGTTTAAAACTCTTGGGTTGGTGGCAGTTGCATGCAGCAGAAGCCACTTGCACAGTCCATCTTTAATCGGCTTAGTTAGAAGTTTAGCCTGGAGGTGGATCCCAATGAACAGCTTTTGTGCTGGGGTATGCAAACCCCACACTAGGTAACACAGGATTAATGAGCGGTCATAGCCTCAATCTGCTGCACCACACCTGTGAGAAACGTTAGGCCTGGAGGGAGAATTTTAAAACAGGAAACCGCTGCATAATTAGTAGCAGACCAGAGGAGAGTACTCTCCCAGTGCTCGGCTCCTAGAGAAGGGTTAGATGAAGGCTGGAGCTTTGCAAATGGCTGCTGCCTGGCAGCCGCTGGCCCCTCCCAAAAGGGTGGGATAGCCTGACTCTGAACCACTATTGTAACAGACTAGCTCAAGCCTGACTGGGGCTACTGCTTACCAGAGGCTGTCTGAGGAAATAGTCCTACCATGTCTGTGTGACAATTCATTGGTAGTCCAGAAGGGGTGGACTATCCTAGACCCAGGTAAAGTGTTTAGTCTCTCACCACTTGACCTGTGTGGTAGACTGCCTGACTATTGCCAACCAGAGGCCAGGTGAGTGTAAAGGCCCTGTCCTGCCCTCCCCGCTTGCAAAGTGCCCTGAGAGAGGAGCACAGCACAGTGAAAGGAGGCTGCTGTTCAGAAATGATTGTTAGGAATACCAATGTGAGCAGACCGTTGAGGAAGACCTATCAGAAAGGTAATCTGAAATAAGATACTGTCCACACTGAATGGGAGTCAGGGATGGCTGATTATGTATTCATAGTCCTTTCCCCATAGTTTCATTTGATTCAGAACTATCCAATTGTGCACATTGTTAGCCAATGTAAATTGTAGACTCCTATTAATATTAGGGCTTGTCTACACAGA